TTATATATATATATTTTTTAAAGTGTTCAGATGGGCATGGTGGCTCATACCTTTAATCCCAACACTTGGGAGGCAGAGGTAGGCAGCTCTCTGTAAGATTAAGGCCTGGGCGTTCTAGGCCAGATAGAGCTATAGGGAGACCCTGCCTCAAAAGAACAAAACAGCCAGGCGCAGTGGCGCACGCCTTTAATCCCAGCACTTGGGAGGCAGAGGCAAGCAGATCTTTGAGTTCGAGGCCAGCCTGGTCTACATAGTGAGTTCCAGGACAGCTGGGGTTACAAGGAGACCTTGTCTCAAAAAACAAAAAAGAACAAAACAAAGCAAAACAGGGAGCAGGCATACTAGTGCACACCTTTAATCCCAACACTCAGGAGCAGGAGGGCAGGTAGATCTCTGTGAGTTCAAGGCCAACCTGGGGTACATAGTGAGTTCCAGGCCAGCAGGGACTACAGGGAGATCCTGTCTAAAAATGACAAAAAAAAAGAAAGAATGATAAAGAGGAGGAGGAACTGGAACCTCTGTATACTGCTGGTGGGAATGCAAAATGATGCAGTCTCACAGCCAATTTCTTAAATTTGCTCTACAGCCAGCAAGTCCATTCCTAGTTAATGCCCTCACCAAAATAAAAGCACGCATCTGTACAAACACTGGATATAAAGATTCAAAAGCAGTATACATAATTAACTAAAAATCAAAATAGTTCAAATGTACAACCCATGAATGGTTGAACACAAAGTAGCTATACAAGCTCCTCCATGGAAACTCAGAACACAATCCTAAGAAACAAGCAGGACATCAAGGCCACATGAGAATGGTTGCACCTGTATGACATTTGAAGAAAAGGTAGCAGGCACTGCAAGCTGTCTAAGGCTAGGGGCAGGAACTGTGGGTACTGTAATGGGTACAACAGGTCTTTTCTGGTTAGTGGTATTATCCCAAAGGTAGACTGTGGAGAAAGTTATAATACTGGAAATTTATTAAAATTGGATGAATCATAAATTTTAATTAAAAAGTAGTAATGCAGTCAAAATAATGTACTCTTTTTTGAGCTTAGACTTAGTATCAATGAATAATATCCACAACTACCTGAAAATTACCACAAAATATTCGTTAGTTTTTTAAAAACAAACACAGGGTCTCCCTAAAGCCCCAGCTGGCCTGGAACCCACTGTGTAGACCAGACTGGCTTTGATCTCTCAGAGATTTGCCTGCCTCTAGCTCCTGAGTGGTAGATTATCACACCTGTCCCAAAATAACCATCTTTTTCTAACTATTTCTGCATGAGGATGGACTTTCTTCATAAACAGAAATTAGACCAATCACTGTCTTCTATTAAAGACAGACATTAAAAACATTTGCAAAATGTAAAAAGTGTTTCCTTTCAGAATTTTGGGAGGATGAAAGTTAATTTTCATGAAAAATTATTCACTTTAACATGTAATAGGTTTAGTACTGCTACTGCAGGATTTTATTTTCATTTTTTAAAAAAAATTTATTTCGGGCCAGGCGTGGTGGCGTGTGCCTTTGATCCCAGCACTTGGGAGGCAGAGGCAGGTGGATCTCTTTGAGTTCAAGGCCAGCCTGGTCTACATAGTGAGTTCCAGGACAGCTGGGACAGCTGGGGCTACAGGAAGACCCTGTCTCAAAAAGAAAAGAAAAAAGGCCAGGCATGGTGGCGCACACCTTTAATCCCAGCACTTGGGAGGCAGAGGTAGGTGGATCTGTGAGTTCAAGGCCAGCCTGGTCTACATAGTGAGTTCCAGGACAGCTGGAGCTACAGGGAGACCTTGTCTCACAAAGACCGAAAAAGAAAAGAGAAAAAAAATTCTAAATTACAAAAATTTTTAAAAATTTTACGTGAATTAGTGTTTTGTCGTGCCTGCAAATGCCTGCAGAGGTCAGAAGATGGCACTGGATCCTGTGGAACTGGAGTTAAGGATGGCTGCAAGATCAGCCAGTGCTCTTAACTACTGAGCCATCTCTCCAGCCTGATTTGTTTAAATTATAAGTGGCTAGGGGGGCTGCCTGCATTTAAGCACACACATGCATGCCTGGTGCCCACCAAAAGAGGTTGATGGATTCCCTGAACTGCAGTTAAGAATGGATGTTAGCTGCCATGTGGGTGCTGGGAACCGAACCCAGGTGTCCTAGAGGAGTAGTAAATGTTCTTAACTGCTGAGCCATCTCTCTAGGCAGCCATGTTTTGGGGATTTTTATATTATATGTATCTGTGGCTGACCTGGTACTCATCATGTATCTAGGTTGAACTCATGGCAATCCTCCTATCTCAGTCTCCCCAATTCTGGGATTACAGGCATGAGCTACTATGTTTGCTCATTATTATGTTTAAATGAATTACAGAAAAAACAAGTTTGTTTTGTTTTGGGGATTGGCTTTCAGAACTGGCTTTGAACTGGCTGGCTTTGAACTCAATGCATAGCCAAAGATGACCTTTCAACCCATGATTCACTTGCTTCCACTTCCCAAACCCTGGGGTTATACGCATAAGCAACAATACCCAACTTGAATGAAAACATTTAAATTTCCAGTTTTAACTTTAAAATTTTCATTATATTTATTGGGATATGGGGGGGTGTTTACCTGCATGGGTGCACATGCATACACTTGACACGTGTAGAGGAGAAGACAACTTTATAGAGTTGGTTCTTTCATGCCATGTGGGTCCCAGGACTGAACTCAGGTCATCAGGCTTGGTGGCAAGTGCCTTTACCGCCACTGAGCCATCTTGCCAACCCTATTTTTATCTTACTTTTTTTCCTTTTTGTCTTTTTTGTGGGAGACAGGGTCTGATTATGCAGCCCTGGAACTCACTATGTAGACAAGACTGGCCTCAAATTCAGAGATCCATCTGCCTCTGTCTCTCAAGTGCTGGGATTAAAGGCGATCACTTCATACCCAGCCTTATTTTTAATTTTTGTGACATGATCTCACCATGTAGCTCATGCTGGTTTTGAACTCAAAATCTTACTTGAGACTCCTGAGGTCTGAGGCTCTAGGGGTGTGCCACCACCACACCAGATTCTTAGTTTTAACTTATTTAGTAAATACTGATAGGTATTACCGAATATAAACAAAATCCTTGTGAATATAAGAGGTTATAAAACTCCAAACTTTCAGAATCACTTTTTGATACACGGTCTCCCTGCAGTCCCAGCTGGCCTCGATATAACAGAGCTCCACCTGTGCCTGCCTCCCGAGTGTCGGGACTAAAGGTGTGCACCACCATGCCCGGCTAAGAACCACTGAGAGCACCAAAGACTTCTAACCTGGAAAGTCCCCGAAGCACCTTTGCCAGTTATTTGCTCTAACTGGCCTCGCTCTACTGCTCTCTGCAGAGCATTCTTCAACAACTGGGGCCTGCAGAGAAAAACAAAAAATAGTGATAAATGTCAATGAAAGAAAATTTCAAGAAATAGATCCAGGGCTATTCCCAGATGTAAAGTTCTAATTCCTATTATATGCAGTAGTCTGTTAAAATGAACAAAAACATAATACCAAATTGGTGACATTCTGTTTAATTTCCATTCTTTATTTTATGAGTGTTTTGCCTGCATGTATGTAAATGTATCTGTGTTGTACAATGTCTGTGGAATACGGAAGGCAACAGTGGATTCCCTGCAACTGAACCTGGGTCCTCTGTAACCTCTTAACCACTGAGTCATCTCTCCAGACCCTTTTGTTGGCATTCTTAACTAGTGAATTTTTTTTTTTCTCCAACCAATGAAGTTATTTGTATACACAGAAGTCTTAGCACACAGAACCAACTTTCAAACTGCCACGGCACTCCAAAAACCTGTTATTTACTACCATGGCATTTTTGACAGCCTTGAGCACTGGAATAGAGTGTGGACATCTGTTTGACTTTTTTTTTTCTTTCCTGATGGGTCCTATGCTGCCTAGGTCACACACAGGTTTTGGCTTTATTGTATCAACTAAATGCAAATGTTCGGGACATGTAAGAACACTGACTTAAAAAATACATGCTAGCTGGGCATGGTGGTGCACGCCTTTAATTCCAGCACTTGGAGGCAGAGGCAGGCGATCTCTGTGAGTTCAAGGCCACCCTGGTCTAGTGAGTTCCAGGACAGCTGGGGCTACAGAGAAACCCTGTCTCAAAAAGACCAAAAAAGCCAAAACAAAATAAAAATGTCAAAAAAAAAAAAAAAAATCAAATTTAAGCTAAAAGCTAGCTAGGCTCCAAGCACATGAGCTTTTTTTTTTTTGGTCTTTTTGAGACAAGTTCTCCCTGTAGCCATGGATGGCCTGGATTTGCTAATAAAGCCAAGCCTGATGACCTGGGACTCACATGGTGGAAAAACAACTATCTTCACAAGTGTGCCACAGTATATGTGTACACATCAAACAAAAAAACTGGGACCAGGCATAATGGTGCATGCCTTTAATCTCAGTATAATTCCAACACTGGGAGGTACTGGCACGCAGATCTAGTCTCAAAACACAAAAGAAAAAAGAAAGGAGTTATCAGAGGCTCTATGCAACTTCAAGTTCTGCAAAACAAAGATTCAATACTGACTGGATCAAAAATTTTCAGGAAAAGGGGCTGGAGAGATGGCTCGGCGGTTAAGAGCACTGACTGCTCTTGCAGAGGATCCGGGTTCGATTCCCAGTACCCATATGGCGGCTACAAACAGTCCTTGACTCCAGTTCCAGGGGAATCCGAAGCCCTCTTCTGACCATTGTGGCACTGCATGACACAGGTGCACTCACATATATGCAGGCAATACACTCATACACATAAAATAAAAATATTTTTTTTAATTTTTTTTCAGGAAAAAAAAAAATTCTGTGCCTATACTGAATATATACACTTTTTTTTTGGTCTTTTTTGAGACAATGTCTCCCTATAGCTCCAGTTGTCCTGGAGCTCACTATGTAGACCAGGCTGGCCTTGAACTCACAGAGATCTGCCTGCCTCTGCCTCCTGAGTGCTGGGATTAAAGGCGTGCACCACCATACCCGGCAAGGATATATACACATTTTTTTTTTTTTGAGACAGGGTCTCCCTGTAGCCTCAACTGTTCTGGAACTCACTATGTAAACCAGGCTGGCCTTGAACTCAGAGATCCGCCTGCCTCTGCCTCCCAAGTGCTAGGACTACAGGCGTGCACCACCTTACCTGGCCAAGAATATATATACTTTTTAAACGACGATATTATATATTATAAAACTTATTTACATAACATTGTATTAGATATTGTAAGTATTCTACAAAAGATTTAAAGAGTACAGGAGGGAGGCCAGAACCAACGGTACAGGCCTATAATACCAGCTACTAGGTAGACTGAGGCAGAAAGATCACAACCTCAAGGCATGTCTAGGTAATTTAGTGAACCTGTTTTCAAATAAAAAGCTGGGGATACAGCTCGATGGTAGAGTACTTGCCTAACATGCATGAGGCCCTAGCTTCAATCCTCAGTACCAGAAAATACACGGAAGCCAGGCATGCGGACACATACCTGTAATTTTATTACTCAGAAGGCAGAAGCAGAAGACTTGAGTTTGATGACAGTCTGGGCTACACACTGAGTCCTCTATTTAGAAAACAGTAACAACAAAAAGAGATGCAGGAAGATGCATATAATAGAAAGGATTTATATACATTGAGCATTTGAAGGACTTTGCTATCAACGAGGGTCCTTGAACCAAATTCCCAACAGATAACTAAGAGACATTTATACTCATATTAGGATTGTACTTTGGAACCACCCTTTAGGCCATATTATATATATGAAAGAATGTATATTAAATTGGGCAGGGGTATTGGGGGAGGTGCAGATAGGGGAGGTGAATCCAAATACCATCAATGAAAATTGCAAAAATCACAAAAATACAAACAAAACAAAACAAAACAAAAAAACCCCACAACAAACTACACATGCCAGGTGTGGTGGCATGGGCCAGCCTGGTCTACTAGTGAGTTCTAGACTAGCTGTAGCTCTAAGGCGACCCTGTATCAGAAAGACACACACAAAAAGAAACCAAAACAACAAAACCTACACGTGAAAACGAAACCATAGGAAATTATGAGGCAACAAAACCCAACCTTACAAAGAGTTCTATTTTGTTCTATTCCTAAACTCAGTGATAGATCCCTCTTAAGGCTGGGTGTGGTGGTGCATGCCTTTAATTCCAGCCTTGGGAGGGAGGCAGGCGGATCTCTGTGAGTTCCAGGCCAGGTGGGAATACAAGGAGACCCAGTCTCAAAAAGACAAATAAATAAATAAATAAATAAATAAATTCCTCTTAAATATTTCATCTATGTCCTTTCTCAAAAGAAAGGGGCTAAGGGAATAACATGCCATATTTTAAAGTGCAGGGCAAAAGCTAATACCTGATGTCCACCCTAAGCTTAGGGTAATACTGAGACACATATTTCCTGATGAGACTGTAGGAAGCTTCTTTAGGTTCACAAAGGCGAGTAAACGCCAGTGGGAGGATATCTTCCAATTTCACCTGTGGTTCTGGATCCACTGCAGAGCTCTTCTTCTGAAATACGCATCAAAGTTATAATCATTACAGAGCACACAGCTTTCAGTCCATGGACGGGCTTTCCTTGTGCCGACTGTCAAATTAATTGGTAAACTGAAAATGACTGTTTTTCCCACATTCAAATAAATCAGAAGCTAAGGTATGAAAATGTGACAATTTTTTTTCCAAAGAATTAAAAAAAGAGAAGACAATCAAGTATCTTTTCTCATTCTTAACCGTCAATAACAAAGAACTAAGTGTAGATGGCACGACTCTAAAGTTACTTTTCATAAGTGTTATAAAGTTCTATATTTTTCTAATTTAAAAATTTTTTTTGGTTTTATTAGACAGTTTCCCTGTAGCCCCAGCTATGGATCACAGAGATCTGTCTGCCTCTGCCTCCCAAGTGCTGGGATTAAAGGCATGTGCTACCATGCCTGGCCTATAAAGTGTGTGTGTTTGTTTATTTATTTATTATTTATTTATTGGTCTTTTTGAGACAGGGTCTCCCTGTAGCCCCAGATGGCCTGGAACTCACTATGTAGACCAGGCTGGCCTTGAACTCACAGAGAGCCAGCCACCTGCCTGTGCCTCCCGAGTGCTGGGATTAAAGGCGTGCGCCACCACACCTGGCTAAAGTTCTATTTAAAGGCAGAAAACCTTCAGAGTTTCAAATCAAAGATACAGATTTTCATGATTTTTAATCAACAGACAAAATATTATTTCACGATTTAGTGTAGCAGTATTTATTTATTTAATTTTATTTTTATTTTAGGTGTATGCATGTATTGCCTGCATGTAGGTAAGTGCACCCATGTCGTGCAAGGCCCACACAGGACAGAAGAGGCTGTCACTGGAGTTACGGACAGTTGTTAGCTGCCATGTGGGTGCTGGGATTCAAACCCCGGTCTTCTGCAAGAACAACCAGTGTTCTTAACCGCTGAGCCATTTCTCCAGCCCCTGTAGCAATATTTTATGTACATGAAATAATAGCTTGCACATCAGTATTTACAAAGATGAGAGGACAAATGGATGCTGAGTAGTTTTGGGGACGAGTTTGGTAGAAATACGTATATACTTCCTCTATTTTAAAGTATATTTCACAAAAAAGCAGTGTAATCATATAGTTGTTCACAATGCAATATAAGGCATTTAAGACCAATAGGCTTATCCAGGATGGAATGCTAAGATTTATAACCTGGTTATTCTAACTTGGGGAAATTACTCATAACCTCTCTAGGCTTTAGCAGAAAGGCTGCAGTTTGTGCAGTGCTAGTCACAAGAGCACTCAGTAATATTACTATTACCACTAATAATATACCACTAATAGTGGTAACAGTATTTCAATGCTCAACCAAACTGTGGGACAGATCTCCTACCTTTCTGTTTCTTGATTTCTGAGTTGTTTTACTTGACTTCTGGACAACAATGAAACTTCCAGATGCACCTTTTCCTTTTACCTAAAATAAATCAAATTTTGTTTTAAGTTATTCCAATATTTTAACTTAATACTAACAGAATTATATAGCATGATGCAAAAGGTAATATAAAGTGGTATTTAACTCTATGGAGAGAAAAGAACACCGAAGAAGTCAGAAGACTTGGAAAGGGATACCATGCCATCTAGCTATTCAACCCAATTACAACTACAGGTCTGACAAAGAATGCTCTTGTGACTCTGGGTTAAACAGTTGACAAGCTTTTAAAGAAATCTGAAAACAAACCACCAAGAATGAAAGGCAGGAACAAAAATGTTTTGGGGTAAATGAAACAAATATTCGCTGTCTTACAAGAAAGAAAGCTCTGGGATGGAGAGCTGGCCCAGCCGTTAAAGGCTCAGGCTCACAACCAAAAAGGTAAGAAAGAAAGCTCTTTGCCGTATTTAGACCCTAGATTCAGACCACAGTGCTTACTATTTCAGATTACAACTTTTTTTTTCCTTTTTTTTTGGGGGGGGGGGTCTTTTTTGAGACAGGGTCTAGATTACAACTTTTTATTTTTTTATTTTATGTGTATGAGTGTATTGCCTGCATGTACATAAGTGTACCCGTATCATGAAATGCCCACAGAGGTCAGAAGAAGGTGTCAGATGGCCTGGAACTGGAGTTAAGGTGGTTGTTAGTTGCCATATGGGTTCTGGGAATTGAACCTGGGTCCTCTGCAAGAGCCGTCAGTACGCTTAACCACTGAATCATTTCTCCAGCCTCTAGATTACAACTTCTTACGTAAATTGTTACCTAATAATTTTTAAGACATTGCACATGAAGCTATGTGTGTGTGTATATATATATAGTCTCTTAAATAGGTTCACTGAGCGGTATACCCTAACTGTCACACTTAATGGCTCCATACTATTGGAAGAAGTCAGAATTTCCCGTTGCACCAATCCCATACTGGCATTTGGGTAACCTCAGAGGGGCAATTGATAAGGACAGGAAGTAGAGACTAGTTAGGCAATTCAGCACAGGGACCCAAAACAACTCTTCCAAAATATCCTTGGTTCTCTCACAAAAAACGTCCAAATGAAACAGATTTTTTATTGCCTCCTAAATCAGCTCCCCTGCCTAGAGGTTATACACGAGGGTGGAAACTGAAATTTCAGACATTAGTTTCTTCTAGGAAAAAAAAAAA